AAACAAAAACTTATTTAGGATGCGATTAATCGTTTGACAGCACTACTTAAATGCAAATAACAAATCATCTAATGAATATGAAGTGTCTGTATAATGTGTTTATTTCATTGTGTAGGGCTTGTTTTGTTTATGGTTAATCAGGCCATAAGAGACTATTAACTCCAACTAATAATTTGCATTATACAAATGTGTCAACTATATAAAAAGCATAAGCATATTTTGCATAATAGGTGCTCTTTAATATAAGAAAGCTTCCATTATTGTGAACGCTTGGGCAGTTTCATGCATGCTCTGAAGCTCTGGTTTGTAACAGATGATGTGCAAAGGTTTCAAAGCTTCACAAAGCTGTCAATCAAAACATTTGCAAAGAAATCAAAGCGTCAAACTGTGTGTCAGCAAACCTCTCACAGACCGAAAGCCAAACTATTTATTTTATTTGTATTTTATTATTATGCTCCAAACACTGTAAGAAATCGAAGTGTGTGTTTACTGCAGTAGCTGTCAGGGGGCGCTGTTCAGCATGATCTCTGGGCGGCGGCAGCAGCAGCAGCCACGAAGAAGAGGAAGCGCGTACTTCCGGTTCTGTGAAGAAGATGGCGACAGTGAGATGCAGAGATAAATAAATGAAAACATTTCTCTCTCACTGTGTCAGAAATAACCCTTTTTATTCAGCCTCTGCGACAGAATGATGAACCGAACGGCGTATTTCTACGACCCAGACGTGGGGAACTTTCACTACGGTAAGTGAACTGTCTGTTAGCAGAAGCGGCTAGTCAGTGTTTACAGTTAGAAACCACAGACATCAGCACACAGCGTTACTTTCAGCACATCTGCGCACTGTACAGCAGAGATCATCATTCTCATCAGCACATCTGTGCACTGTACAGCAGAGATCATCATTCTCATCAGCACATCTGTGCCCTGTACAGCAGTGATCATCATTCTCATCAGCACATCTGTGCCCTGTACAGCAGTGATCATCATTCTCATCAGCACATCTGTGCACTGTACAGCAGAGATCATCATTCTCATCAGCACA